ATTCGATAAGAAATTTATTGACGAACCTACCAAAAAACAACTAACAAAATATAACAGTAACTCTCCAAAATTCTATGCATTACCAAAAATACACAAACCGACATTATCACTAAGACCTATTGTTTCGTCAATTAACTCTCCAACTGAAAGTATTGCAAACTTTGTAAAAAATATACTAACAGCATCATATGACTTCAATAATGAATACTACATAAAGGACTCATTCGATGTAAAAACAACATTTAATGGATTACAACTTCCTAATAACTATGTTCTTGCAAGTCTAGACGTCGTTTCCCTTTTTACTAATATCTATTTAGACGCTTGTCTCAGATCCATAAACAAACATTGGTCCAACATAAGTATACATTGCAAAATCGATAAAGATATCTTCTTAGATTTAATCCGATTCCTATTCAATAACACACACTTCTCCTTTAACAACAAAATATATAAACAAAAAATAGGCACCCCCATGGGAGGATGTGTGAGTTCCATTCTGGCCTTATATGTTATGGACGATCTCTTAGATATAGTCATTCCTGTTCTTCCATTCAAAATAACCTTCCTAAAGAAATATGTCGACGATATAATTTTAGCCCTACCAAAAGACATGATTAATGAACTATTATACATTTTTAACGACTTTGACCGACATATAAAATTTACAGTAGAAACAGAAGACAAACATCAATCAGTCCCATTCCTTGACACTAAACTAATACGCAACAACAACAACGTAATAACAACAGATTGGTATAGGAAACCTATTAGCTCCGGAAGATATATTAACTATTGGTCATATCATAAGCATAGCACAAAAATTAATCTTATAAAACAAATGAAAAACAGAATTTTACTGATTGCTGATCAATCGCTACATTATAAAAATCTAAAAATCCTGCAACAACTCTTTCTAGACAATTCATATCCAAACACATTACTTACCAAATTACTATTCAATACAACAAACGATACATTATCTGTAACACAAACTATCCCTAATCACACACTACAAAACACTACACCCACAATAGACACAACCACTAACACTAATTTAACTCCATTTAAATACTTTAGATTACCGTTCATACAAGAGTTAACACCAAAACTTACACGAATTTTTAAATCAACTGACGTTAACATAAAAATCGCGAATTACACAGTGTTAAACATTAACTCGATATTCACTAAACTAAAAGATAAGACACCTACAGATCAATTATCCAATATAGTTTATTGTATCCCTTGCGGAAGTTGTAACAAACAATATATTGGCCAAACCAACAGACACCTAAAAAATCGTATCATTTCCCACATGAGTGACAGCAGACTATATCCCGATAGATGTTCCCTTGCAAAACACGTACATAATGAACACCATGTAATGAACTACAACGAAACAAAGATTCTTGCAATGGAGAATAATCTCAATAAAAGACTCTTCCTCGAGATGGCATTTATCACCCAAATGGATAACTTAATAAATAAGAAATCAGATGTTGAGCATTTGAGTGAGATTTATGCTTATCTATTACATATCGAAAAAACAAACATAACTATTAAATAATTATTGTAACACAACATGTAATTCAAAAATTTTCAAAAAAAAAAAAAAAATTTTTTAAATTTTTTATCTAAAACACACTTTTACAGTAAATCCTTATCAATAAACAACTACTATAATAGAACTAATTATCTCCTGCTACACATCAATCAATAACATTCGATATTTGGTATTTCTAGTACTAAACCTTAATGACTATCTGCGAACTAAACGTTTTTATGTTTATTTTGTTTTTTAATTTATATATTGTCATTTAATATTTTAATTGTCATTTTTACAACTACATGTTATATATCCAAAAAAAACTACAATCCACATCATACCACAAACCTTTCTGATGATAACATAAATCATATTGCCACAACCTCAATCAAGTAAGACTATTGAATGTATTTTATTATTTTTATTTTTATTTATTTTTACCATGTTTTAAATAATTGTAGCTTTCATCTGATGATGCCAATGAAAATTGGCGAAATATAATGAACTGTTGAACAGAGTGCACTTGGCTTTTATTCAGCTGTATACCCAATTAACCTCAACTCACTTTTTATATATATATATATATATATCAGTTTCTTTTAGTTTTCTCAGATTGATTCTCGGTGTTGTGGCAGTTGTTTTTAACTTTTTTAACTCGAGTTTCATGTTTAATAGAACTAGATTGTGGTCACTTGTTATATCTGTTCCTGGGTATGCTTTAGCCGATATTATGGCATTTCGGAATCTTTGATTTATTATGTAATCTATTTGGTTTCTTATTAAAATTTCAAATCATCTCTAGGTGCTTTCCATGTATATATTCTTCGATTTGGGAGTTTATCCCACGTGTTTTTGATAATTATCTTTATCTTTGCAAAACTGAACTAGTCTTTCACCTCTTTCATTACGTGATCCCAGTCCGTGTTCTACTACTTATCCATCTCTTCCTTTCCCTACCTTCGAGTTGAAGTCACTTAAAATCAAATTTATTTCTTCTTTTTTAGTTTCATTGAATCTTTTGTTTAAGGCATTGTAGAAGCTGTTTACTTCTTCCTCTGTGCTATCAGATGTTGGTGCATACACTACAATGATATTTATGTTGCACGGTATAGAGTTTATTTTCAATAGTGCCACTCTATCCGTTATCGTTATTATTAATTTGTCACCTAACCCCAAAATTGACCATATGTGTTTGTTATGCTTGTGATTAATTTTCCGAAATCAATAAAATAAGTGATTAATAGCAACTATTTTCATACAAAAAAGTGAAGTCCTGATAAAAATCTTTAGAGTAAATATTGTTGGTTTGACAGATATTATTGTTCAGACTTCGTTTTTTCTAAACCAAAATTTTTTAGGTTATATTGTGAAATTGAAATCTTGTAAAAAATGTTTAAAACTAATCAATGATGATCAAATTGAGAAAGCTCCTAGATGTGATAGCTGCCATGTTGTTATTATTTATTTATCATTTTTTTCTTCTGTGAATGATGTGTGCTGCCCTTCAAAAAAATACCTATTTTAACTAACAAGTTCATTCAACTAGAGGAGTAAATCAAGTCCTTAAAGGAGAAGCTAGACACAGTTAAGCAACCGCAGCAGCAGTATGTTCTTGGTACAACTAATGAAACATTTTTGCATATTAAGATGGAGATCATGCTGAACTTGCTAATAATTTGATGAGAGTCTGGCATCCCGGAATCAGCAAGTAGTATCTTCAAGAAAGAATAAATGGTGACAACAGCACAATTACTCCCATCTTAAACAATATTGGTATTGTCCAGAAAGACGTGGTAAAGATATTACAAATCGAGCAAGCATCTGAAGGCAAAAACAGGTCAATAAAGGTGGTGACCAAACATCTCAATTTAGATAAAAACGCAATTAATAAGCGCAATCGCATTGAGGATGGCATAAAAATATGTTATAAAACGAAACTTCAACAGGAACAGTTTAAAACCATTTTGACAGAGTTGCGTGCTCAAGAACAAAAGGGAGTATCTGACTTGATTATTAAATTTATAAATGGACTTCCAACAGTTGCTAAAAAACCTCTTCAAAAAACAAAACTCAATAAATACTATTTATATTTATTATCAGAATCTTAGGGGAATAGATACTAGACTAGATGAACTTCGAACCTCCATCTCGCAATGTAACTATAATGTAATCATTCTGGTAGAAACTTTGGCTAAATCAAGATTACTCAGATAATGAATTGCCAAATTCTGGCTACTAAATTTTCAGATTGGATCATAACTTAAGAACTAGCCCACTAAGAAGAGTGGAGGAGTTTTAAAAAAGAAAACCATTTTAAATATAAACAAAATGTTTGTTCATGTAGATTATGAATAAACATCATTTATCTTGGGTGGAGTATACATTTCTCCGAATTCATCAGAAGATACGTACCCTAGTCATTGCTCGGCTGTTGAAACTATTAAAAACAATAGACCAAATGTACCTGTATATTTATGTGGCAAATACAATGTACCACTATTCTTAAGCTTACTCAAATGAAGAGGGATACTTTGCTTTTTAAAATTAAGATGTGCTGGCTTCCCTGAGTGGAGTGGTTTCTTTCATTGCTAAGTAGTTATCTCAATAAAAGAGTTCAGTTTCTTTTTATAAAGGGTTCACTCTCGATTCCTCTCTAGGTCAGTTCAGGGATCCCACAAGGTTCACATGTGGTTCCTCTTCTCTTGAACATATTTATTAATGATATTTCTGGGGTAATAAAGTTTTGTCAATATTTTCTATTTGCTGATGACCTTAAGGTATACTTAAATCCGTAAGATTTAAGCACTCTGACTGACACTCATACCGAATAAAGATGAGTGACCTTTAACTTGGAATATTCATTTCATTTTAATAAGATTTTCAGGAAAATTTAATGTATATTAATTTAATTTACTTTAATATTATTTAATAATAAGTTAATCATTATTTAATATTTAGTTTTAGTATTTTTGTTTTGGTTAGGATATTCAATTTTTGAAGAAATAAATAAATAAATAATTTCCAAGTTTTGCCAATTTATTGCGTTTTTAGTGTACTTCTTGAACTTATGTTGTATTTCTTCTTAGCCCTGATCTTTGATTGGCTGTCTTGCATATGTTCTTCGTAGTATCTTTCCCATTTGACCTTTTTTTATTCGAGACTAGGTAGTTTTTTATCTTTTCTGATGCTGTTCATAAATTACAATGCACATGTGCATTTTGTTCCTCCTAAATGTTTGTACTTCCATATAAACATTTCTTTTTCTTATATTTATCTATCTTCTGTATGTGCCACATTAAGTGACCCAAACAAATTATACTAGAAGGCAATAAAATAATATGTTTGAGGAATAACTAAAGTCTTAAATCCCAATACCAATTTTAAAAGAAAATATTTAGCAAAGACCAAAACCTATCGGCCGTCAGTTAAACAAAGGAAAGTAACAACTTACCCTTTTGATCAATTGTGTCTTGGTGTCACTTGTAGCTATAGGACTTGCCGTTGTTTGTCCTGGGGGACTCGTGTTGTTATTATGGACAGTTGCCTTCGGCGACGAATTATGATTCATCTTCGGACCATTCACCTCTGTTTGTGGTTTCTTTTCTATTATTTTTCCAATACTATCTAAATCAGAATCTATTTTCTTGGCTAACTTATCGTTGGAGGCTGGAAGAACTGTCTCACTATCTTCGAAATCATCGTCATCATTGAACCACATCTCTTCTTCTTCGTCCATTTGTCTTTGGTCCCTGCGGTAACGAGTATTTCGCAATATGGAGGGTACACTGGAAACAAATAGAGCATTATGTATTGTACAGAATTGCCAAAACTTGTTAAATTAAGGCTTGTAAATTATAAACAGAATTTTATATTCATATACTTTATAAACTCTAGGTGTAACAACGTGGTGTTTAAAACATAAACTTGAAACAATTTCATTGAAAATACCACTAGTATAGTGAATTTTCAATGGTAAATTTGCAAACTAAAGTAAAGTTCCTGTAACCTTCTGGTTAAGGTCTAGTGTTAGGATTTTCAGGACGCGCAAGCCCCCTAACATTACTTAAAGACCACGTACCGGAACAGCCGACTTAAGTGCCCACGAAACACTTTCTGGTGTCTGTGCCAGCATCGACCCTGGGCTCCCTAGTTTGCAACATCGCCACTGACATGTCACGGCAGTTTGCAAACTGGCCGTAATATAAGGAAGGTTATTAAACACACCATCATAATTAGTTGCTAATTTAATAATAAATTAATCAGAAAATCAAGATTAAAACAAAATAAAAGTTGGTATAAGTTATCACACATATATCCTGAGATTGGTTAGGCACTAGCTTCTGATTTATGAGGACGAACCCCCTAACGCTAACGTTCTGGAAATGCTCTCAACCTTCCAAAATGATTCAGCATCCAGTACAAAAAATTGTAGTAGATGTAAGCAAATCACCAGTTAGGGTTCTTCAGGAATTCATGAATAGTTTGCTAAAAAGAAACCATTAAATCAAACGAAGCAAATATAACTAACAAGGAGTTTCGAGAGGACATGGGGGATCTAAAAAAGGAAAACAACAATTTGAAGAAAGAACTCGAGGAACCAAAAAAACTATAACCCATATGGAAATGATGAATTCTATGAAAAGAAAATTAAAGCAAACAAATTGGTAGCAACAGGATTAACAATAGATACAAGCGATGAGATGTTTCTAAATCTGAAAATATTGAATAGCAACGTTCCTGATTTAAATGGTGGACTAAAATAAAAGAGATGATTTAAAAAAGTTGTTAAACATCTTAAAAATATCAAGAGTGCAGGTGCAAACGGAATTGTCAACGAGCTCATAGAGGAGGAATGTTCAGAACTTGAAGAGTTTAGAGGAAAAAATGCTGACAATATTAATTTTGATATTACAAAAAGAAGATGTAACCAGCTGTAATAACTACAGTGGAATTCCACTGCTAGATGTAGAAGCTCTAGGAGAACAATATTGTGACATCAAATTAAGCAGGAAACTTATCAATAATATCCGGTATGCAGACAACACGGTAATTTTATACGATAATCTTCAAGACTTCAAACATCTGCTGAACTGTGTAAGCGAAATATAAAGGAAAATGGTTTGGAATATAAATGGGAATAAGAACAATATTCATTAAATATCTTCATTAAAATGAAATCCCTCTTCTACAATAATAACAATCTGAAGCTACGAGAGATGATGGGAAAATGTCGCATGTGGTTAATGCTTTTGTATGGTACTAGAATTTTAACTCTAAAATTATCCATGATAAATTGGATAAAGGGGAAAATTGAAGGACGAAGAGGAGTTAAAATAAACAAAAAAAAAACAAACTAGGGCACACTTTAATGTTTTAGTGCAGGATATGTTCAAAATAAACGATGAAACATTTGAAACGATTGAAACATTTTAAGCCTACAGAACTAATAGGCAGCTTTAAATAGCCAGTACATTATTAACATCGGCTGATAATTATTATATTATTAAAGGATATATCTGATCGGAGAGAATTCCTGCATGTCATCACTAATAGTTACATAAAAGTTAAGTTGAGTTAAATAAAAAAACATATCTGAAACAACATTTTACTCACCCATCTAAACTATTTCGGTCCCTATCTTTCAGTTTGTCTTGGTGTTGATCGTAGCGCAACTTTAGAGATTTAAAAGTCTGTACATAGCAAATGTCATCTAGACATTTCGCATAATTTTCCACCACATGCGAGCACAGCGTCTTAATATCCTCTACCTTGATAAACTCAAACATTTCGATAATAGCAGAGTCCAGTAGGTTGTATCGGCCATTATTTCTAACAAAAGCATCAACTACTGGTGCAAAGAGATTGCCTTTTATGATGTAACGATTATAAAATTCATCCTTAAGCGCTATTAACTTACGCATAAATCTTAAAGCACACAGTACAAGAAACTTGTGTCTTGATTTCATTAGAACTAGTATACGACGAAGTAGATCTTTGTTTAGTATACAGTTTTTTATGTGGTAGGTGTGATGTTCAACACAGAATGAAAGAAGTTCTAAAATTAGACCTAATAGTTGAACACTTCTGTAATCTTCCTTTTGAGGTTTGTCTTGGATGGTATTTTCTAAAAGTGGAGCTGTAAAAATATAAAACATAAATATATAAATACATTTTGTTTTATATACTGTAAAGCATTATTTACGTTATAATAAAAATTGTTAAAAAAAGTTCAAAGGATTACAAGGTCGAATATTATTTTATTAATTAATTGTTGACTTACTATAGGTTAAAATGAAATCTTCTGAAAGTTTCTAAAGTTATGTCCACACTGACAGGTGGCTTGCTTAGCGCCTAGAGTGTATCAAGTCACTTACCGAGTAGCAAAGTGACACGAATTCTATAGAATATTTGCAACCGGTCGCACTACAGACTTGGCTTGAGTAGTGAAGGTGTCATCGGTAGGTCGGTTATATTCTATTAAGTTGATTTCATTTCGCTACTCGCTAGGTGACCCGCTAGACTCTACACTCTATAAATAGGCGCTAAGCAAACCACCTGTCAGTGAGGATGTAGCCTAAAATATTTTAACGAATATTTTGTGATACACTAAGTAATTTAAGGGCAGTCAATTCTTATTTTTGCTATATTTTTGATAATAAATCATTTTTAAATAATGAATTTATAAAAAAATGTCCATTTGTTTTACCTATTTTGTAGACATGTGACGAAGATAAAAGTGTATCATGTGATAGTAGTATATGCTAACATTTTATTCTACTGATAAATGTTTGGGCTTAAGCGAAGTCGGATAATTGTAATGAAAAGCAGAATATTAATATTTTTCTATATGTATTACCGAGAAGTATTTAAAAAAAAATTGGTTTAGGAAATAAGTGGAATCAGTAAGGAGTTAAGAAAAACCAAATTAGACTTACAATCAGTTATCTCTGAAGTGAAGATCTTGAAAGAAAAATAAGAGAATATTCTGTGTAACCAAATCCAATTTAATGATAGAGCTTCTAGCTGAAATACAAAATCGTGATAGAAGATCAACTACTATAATGGGTAATGTGAGAAAGTCACTAACAGCATATTTCTATAACATGGGGAGGAGTAAGGACAAGATTTCATGAATTGGAACTATCATTATCAAGTTGTTCCTACGACATTTTTGTAATTATAGAATCATAGTTGAGTGTACACAGTTCCCTGAACAAGAAATTAAATTTCATGGGTATACCATTCATCTCTGTGATTGAAATGAAGCCACAAGTTACAAGAAGCGGGGAGGAGGCGAGTTAATTACTGAACAGTCTCTAATACATTTAAATTTAGAAAACACCAGTCAATAATATACTATACAATTTGTTGAGGTTATATGGAATAATTAATACATACTACATATTTTGAAGCAGTTGATTTGCCACCCAGGTCACCATCAGAAAGCTATATTGACTACTGTGAATCAGCAAATAATATTTATCAACTATTTTCAAATAGATAGTGTTCTAAAAACTTGAGTGCTATGATAATTTGTGAATACTACTGTTTTCTCAACCTGTATCAAAAGTGCATCCAAATAATAATGGTAGATATTTAAAATTGATTTTTACAAAATATCTGAAATTTTGACTGTTTAATGGCTGTACATAATATCCACTTAGCACATACATTTGGGATTTTAGAAATAGAAATTATTTGTCTCTAAAAAAATGATAAAAATTTCTAATTATCCTAAATTATTTTCTTCCAATTTAAAAGATTTAATTTTTTGGAAAAAATTTGTCATAAAAAAATATTTATAAACGAAATCTGATATTAATATTACTAATAGCCTAGTAATAATCTAAGAAAGAATCCAGAATATTTATGGATACATAAATGAAAAAAGAAAATCAAGTACTGTAACAAATTAAATGTACCTGGACAATCCATCAGTCTGGGGATAATACTCAAGATATAGATTTTTGATGATGGCTCTGCTAATGTCTATAATCCTACATGGTGTACATTGCCAGATAGTAATCAACATAGTCTTAAGCTAACATATCTCTTCAAAAAATACTTTTTTAAAAATTCTGAAATTTATGATGGCATATATATTAACTCCGTGAAATAATCATTTATTTTCTGCAGGTTCCGATAAGATCCCGAAATACCTTCTTAAATCTTGTTCATTTATAATCACAAGGCATTTATTTTATTTAAGGGGGGTAGGATTTTATTTTGCGTTTTTTATTTTTTATTTGATAGTATAACTCTTCAAGGGTATCCAGCTAAAATTTCGGAGTGATCAGAGCAAAACTGATGGAGTTATAGGCATTTATGAGTGAGTGAGTTAGTTAGTTAGGTAAGAGTGGTGAGTAAGTAAGGTGAGTGAGTGATGTGAGGTAGGTGAGTGAATGAGGTGAGTGAGTGAGGTATTTGATGATTTGAATGACCATGAGTACATGGTCATTCGAGCAAAAAGAAAAACATCATTTGTGCTACACCTCTTAGTGAAGAAAAGAGAAGCCACATAGTGACCTAAAACTACAGTCCACTCTAATCACCTACACCAAAGACCCAGACCAGACACTAAACCCGGTGGAAAAGAAAATGAATCCAGACACAAGATCCATCTATGATCCAAAGTCACCTAACTAGTCTGTTTTTCTGCAGTTTGCGTTTCAAATGGGTTATCTTTAAGGTTATATTTTAATCCAGAGTGCCTGTTACTAGTGCCTGCTACAAGAAAATTATACAAGCATTTTAGAAAAATGTAAACTAATAGATAAAGGTGGAAATATCATCAACAGAGATGAATTACTAAGGATAGTAGATTTCTGTACAGAATTATATAGAAGTCATTCATAATGAGCATCTAACAGAAAAGTTAAAAGTCAGGAAAATGATTAGTCAATCAAAGAGTCATTATAGAAGCCGCTAAGATTGAAGATGACAGACTATTAGAGAATATAAAGGAAGTGTTCAACTTATTTCTGCACCAACGTGAAACAACGACAAGATGGCACAGTGCACTTGCCATTTTATTACACAAAAAGGATGATACAACAGACCTCGGGAATTACCGAGCCATAATTAGAAATGAGGAGAGGAATACATTCAACTTTGGATGCAGAAAGCTGGATTATGAAAATGAAACATATACCACCAATATAATGATGAATTTGATCTACAAAAATATCAGCTGTATTATTTTATTGTGAAGTCGAAGCAATGTTTATGTCAGATTCAGGGTTTTCTATAGCAATAGTTTTTAACTCATCAGAGACATGAAAGTAATTGGTGATTTTGTAGTCTACTTCCCAGCAAATGTTCTATCTTTCGTATTTCTCCAAGAAATTGATATTATAATTGTTTGTTACAGTCATCAGGAACTTTCACAAATGAACAAGTAGCACGAAATATTCCACAAATGAACTTGGTGGAAAAGTAGGTGCAATAATAACAATAACTGCATAAAAATATTTTACAAACAGTTGTAGAGTTTTACTCACCTATCAGAAAGGAAATTTTAAAAAATGAACCGACATCTTTAAGTGAAAACATATAAAACAAGTCTAGGCTAATTTGGTTTCGTGTGGCCAAATATTCTCTCACAAAATAGGTCGCCTACGGCCTTCAAAACAATAACTTCAGTTGACAGTACAGTCTCCTTACCTCAAGAAGTAATTGAAACATTTTCCTTGCGACGCTTTCATAGTTGTCTGCTGAACTTTTTCTGTCTTTGCTAACCTTCATCGCGGTTTTGTCAGATATTTTTCATCTTCAGAATTATGGTCTCTAACACATTCAGTTCCATAATTTCCAGATGGCTAGCGTTGCTTTGTTCGGGATTTAGCGGTTTTTGTTTGTTTTATTCTGGTCCATTCTTCTCCCACAAGGAACTAGGGAATATATAGTCACTCCCGGCAGGTCCCCACGTGACAAGAAAAGGCTAATAAAACCTGGATATTGCCTGATACTCGGAGTAGAACCGCTCTTACTCGTGTTCACCCCACAGGATGGCTACCACAACAGAGAATGAAGAGCCCCTCCATCAAGGTTCTTGGATGACTAAGTACATTGACTATGAGTTTTCGTTTAAATATTAAAAGTAAAAAGATGAAAAAAATATTGCCAATAAGAACTGAATTAAGTACTCATACTTACTAGTGTTAAAACTGCTAAGAATTAGAAAATAAGTACATAATTGAACAGCAAATTTTTTATCAAAATGGATTCAACACGTACTTAAACCATAATAAATTATTTTAAACAACACAAATTACACTCTGCCAAATATTTTAGGAACAAACATAGATCAGATATTACATATTTTGACCAACTACAATCTTACAATGGTTAGTTTAATCTAACACAATGACCGTAAGCAATTGCAAAGACATATTATGGACAGAATAAAACAAATATTGTAGGACACACTGACTAAACATACTTCATAAATAGACAGAAACTGTTACCACACACTATTAAAATATAGCTGACGTGGAAGAATACTGTAATCCCTAATATATGATGTGCAGAAATCCCACTTCAAAAAATAATTGTCTAAATAATCTTTATCTAACAATTATTTAAAATATTAAGCATAACTGTAATCAAGCTAATAATTGGAGTATGATAACATAAATGGGACTGTTCTGGTTCGATAGACTTTTAAAATATTCTAAATGTGATTTCGGTAGGTCCAAAATATTGGGTTTGAAGTTAAATCAAAATAAATTGTGTAAGAAACGAGTACATTTTAAAAGATCAACTATCATAATGACAATTTGATTAGATTTATATCAGAACCAATTGTAGGATCATAAAATTACTTAACCATATCATAAACCTGGGGGAAAATAATTTATGTCATACTAAAGACAGTTCACCAACACATATAATTTTTATTTAGCTAAAATTGCAGTTAACCCGCCGTTACACGCGCTATGAGGGAATTTCGCGCCATATTTATTTATAAGCAATGACATTATCTTAGCTAATATGATAACCTTGACCATCAACGAATGCGTTTAGCACCGTTGATAGATAGAGGAGATAATAAAGTTTCAGAATATTTCAGGCAGTCAGTACTATGCTGTGATATTTGATCGAAGTGACAGCCCTCTTTAGGTGAGGGTACTCCTCACTGCGCGTGCGATCACGTTTTTGTAATTTCAAAGAGACTTTTATATTTGTGTTCAATATTTGGGTAAGTTCAAGGTATATCATTAAAACATTAATATTGTTAGGTTAGGAAGCCATTGTCATTTTTAATTTGTATATTTTAGTAAAATGGATCCGCGTCAAGAACCAAGAGATCATTTGGGAATTTTAGATGAAGCAGAGCATTTAGAAATGGAACGAGAATTTAATAAATGTACCTCTTATCCTAAGAGGAAGAACCGAAACATTCAGGCAAAGTACTGAAAACCAAAGTGTGAAAACTCGATTTGTAAGGAAATAAAGAAAATTTTTTTGTGCAATTCCTGTTAGGAAATAGATGAGGAAGAATCTGACTATGATCGAAAATGTGTTTGAAGGACTTCAGGCCAGAGAACAAAATCTGAATGTAAGCGATAGAGTTACATTATGTATTATTTTGACAAAAGTTTCAAAAGTTTTGACGCTAGTGTGTACAGAGTAATTAAAACAGACGATGTAACAAACGATAACAATACTTTGAAGGGTGCAGTAAATAAATTTTATTTCAAAAATGAATTACCAACTATACAAAAAATTGCTTCGTGTCTTCAATTTAATGAAAACGCCTTATTATTAGCCATATTGGTGGTAGTGACTCAGGTTTTGTTGTAGGAGGTTTAAATGCATTTGTTTCGAAAAAGACTGGGGATTGCCACAAGTAAATGTATGCAGATCATTATGAAAAATGGGTTTCAGATATTCTGTCAAAAATTTAACCAGGATCTGTTCTTGTAACGCTCGATGTAACTGCCGACGTGTAGAACAATTTTACCAATCACAAAATGGGGAAAACAGAAGGTTGCAGATTGGCTTACTAAAAAATATATTAAATTCAATGAACCAATTTTGAAAATCGAGTTACTAAACTTAGCACGTAAAATGGCCCAAGAACGAGGCGTAAAGGCTCAAATAAAAAATGAAGTAGCAAGGAACAATGATACTTTCAAATTAAATGATATAAAAAATTTGCTTAATACTGCTGTCAGCAATGTGACCTCACAGTCGTGAATAAAATGTATCGAGAGTTTAGTGAAAGAAGAGCAGAACATGTGGAACCTTGATACTTTCATTGAAATTACCATGGAACTAGTTGTTGTGGATCTAGTTGAAAATACTGCTGATGAATATGAAGATGACATAGATGACTCAGATTAGATTATATATCATGTTTATTCTGCCTGATCAATTGACACATAAATTATTTTCTAGGCCCATAACGTCACTTCTGCGAGGGTAGAAATTTTTAAATGTTTATATTTTTATAATATTAATTAGTGAGTTGTTTGCTTCTATTTTTAAAATAAAATCAAAGTTGTTTAAATATTATCATTTTATTTTCAACAACAAGTCGACAAGAACTATACAATATAATAGGATGTTGCATTTAAAACGCTTCTCCTGAAAAATTATGTCAGATGCATAAGTAACGTTATAGCTAGCATAGGTGCAATATGGTGCCACTCAAAGAGCCCTTAAAATAACCAACTTTTCTACGAGTCACAAGCAGACAAAAAACAACTGCAGAGCACACAAGGAGTGTGGCCAAAAATGATTAAATTAACAATGAATGTACTAGGACAGATTTAGGTCTCTATCTTCCTCACTATAAACAATTCTGCTTGTTCATTAGCAGAGTAATACTTCTATGGAAGTTATTTTGACAGTTCTGTGATTATTCCATTCAAGGAAATGAAAATTTAAGAAAAGAAAAAAAGAGAAAAAGAAAACATAAGAATAGGTGTAATTAAGCAAACAAACCAATAGGTATAATGATAATATAGGCAAACATTTTCAGCTTTGATGATGATTTCATCATGAAAGTTCAGCTTTTTATCAGGATACTGATCAAATTGTAAAGCTTACCTAGGGTTTATTTATTGTAAAATTAAAAACAAATGCAACAAATGTAATCCACAAACATTTAATTAATATTGAAATGATTAAACAAATATGGCAATCAGGATAAATAAGTTTCAAGGCTTTATTATGGAATAATAATGGAAATCTGATAAATCATTTGACAAATAATGACTTAATTTATGGTGATTATCGTCTATTCACACACTAATGATTTTTTAATTGTGATACCTTAATGATTTAATAAATATATTAATACAATAGAAACTTGTAAGTTTTCCAAAATCCAATTAAAAACAGTTATTTTACCCATCCTAATCCAAAAGTCACATGCATTTATAGAAATATAGATAGTCCATAGAAGTTCACTAATAAGTATTAGAATAGTTTCAATTAACAATTTACCATTAACAATTAAAAAGCATATTTTTCTTTATTTCAGTGCAGTTAATACTATAACTGTCAAAAATCACACCTTGGTCACATATTAGTGTTAGTATTTTGTTTCATATTTGTCTTTATGTCCATTATTGGAGAACAGATAAGAGTGCAAAGGAATATTGTCATAATTATAATATAATATTTGATAAATGTCATTAATGCATTGGCAATTATGTTTATTTTTCTTGATTATTGTATTGAAACAAAGTATATTCTTGTAACATTTTTCACATTTAACGATAGGGTCATTAGACAGTGACAAATTTATTTGCATGCTAAAAATGATTCTCTACTGTCTTCCTTCTAAGGTTTTTATGTGGAAAAAACTCCAATCCTTTCTATTTTCTATTTGTTGTTCTCCCTTTACTTATCTTCATTCTGTTGATATCTTCTTTATCATGTTCTCCCATCTGCACTTTGGCCACCCTCTGGATTTTGTATTTTTAATGTTCTAAATTATTAAAATAATTTTTTACCAAGTAACAAAAAACAAAATTTGTTTAATTTATTAATGTTTTGTATTTTGAGAATGATTTCTGAAGTGGAAATTGAATCTTGAATTAATAAACCTACTTTAACCTTCAATTATGGCTTATTCCAATTAAAACAGTAGTTATGTTCTTTAAAATGCCACAAGAAAATAGCTTCAGAACAAAATTCAATTTGTAATAATCTCTACAAACTTTGTGACCATAATCTGATTGTCAACAAATGAAAAACTGCATTTATGCATTAGAAAAATGCACTCTTAAGTATTCAAAAATTTATAACTCAATGAGTATTTATAAAAATGAGTCCAATTTTGTTACTTCAGGGTTTTAGAGGTAGCTAACAATAATATGACACTCACAAGAGTCTTCGAAGTACTCACTAAGACTGTTATTAACACCAACTTCTTCAGTTTGTTAAAATTCGTTATTTAATCAACCAAAACTTGTTACTGGGAGGATCTTGCCAATGTCAAATTTATATTCAGTAGCTTCAAAAACCATAGAGTAACAAGTTCTGGCATATAACAAATGTTAACACCAGTTGAAGGCTAACTCCAGAAGAAGGAATACCCTTATCAGGTACCAGGTGCTTCAGATGCTCTTTCCAGAGTCATATTTCTATTCCGCAACCTCAAAAACCACAAAATTAGACCCGTTGTATCAATATTCATTGAGTTATAAATAAAATAAAAGCTTTAAACTTTAAATACTTAAAAATTCACTTTTAAAATGCATTTTTTAAAAGCACAAATGCAGTTTTTTATGACCACATATGGTCAGTCACAAAGTTTGTAGAGATTATTACAAATCTAATGCCCAAAACTGAATTTAAATCCATCTTACTTTGCAGAAAATCAATAGTAAAGGTAATGGATTTTGATAACAGCTATGACCTTGTAAATAATAGGTAAACTTGTGTACTGAATCGGCATGACTCATAGCTCTTGTTAAAATCCATTACCTCTAAAGCATATTTTTATGGTTTATTTCCTCGTGTATATAATGAAAAGTTAGACATATTTGATACCTTCTGAGTCAAATAATTGAATACCTTTTAGAAACAGTTTAATAAAAGTAGTACTTAACTTATTGTGAGAACCAATAGCATCAAAATACTTACCTATTAAGATGTGAACACTGTGCTTGTAGAAAAAATTGAGAAAGTCTGTCTTCTCAGATTTGTTGACAGAAGCTAGCATATTTTCTGGGTCCAGAAGAATTCTTAACACACCCATCAGTTGAACAGCACCTCCTAATTCTGGATCATTATCACATATCATTTGTTCAATAATAATATTGAGAAGCATTTGATCCTGAAATAAATTTAAATAAGAATTATTTTTATATCATGTATAATGTGCATCTCTCTTGCATCAAACCATCAACCAATAATTATATAGTTGTTTTTTTAGTCATGTTTTTATGGATATCGTTTTATATGGTTTATATTTTTAATAACTGTAGTTACTATATTTAAAGTGTAACTGTTACCTTTATCTTACAATGTTGTTATAAATTGATTATATTTTGTGTATATTAGGGCTTTCCCTATTTTTGAATAAATAAACTTATTCTACTTCTTGGCATGAATTGTGCTCTTTCCAAAAATAAAATATTTATATAAAAAATATTACCTACAGTATTAAAAGCATTGACCTCTGGTTGGACTCTTTCCTTGTTATCAAGCCCTAGGTGACTTGATACTTCAGAGTAACTCCCAAAAGCATAGCACAGCTTCCTTCATGGTCTTATAGAGATGTTTATTAAAAACAATCTGTTTTTTGTCCTCTAAGAGGCTCTTTGAAAACACTCCAGTCATAGAGAGAATAATAGGTATTGTCTGAGTACTTTCCATTCTTCATTGTCTTGTTATTTGTCTTTGTCCTTGTCTGTCTAGTAAGCTTATTAACTAGTATGAGATCTGGTCTATTATGTACCACTGGTTGGTCTGTGAGCACAATGCGCTCCCAGTAAAGCTTGTAGTTTTATTTTTTTTTTGTGTATTTTTTTGCATTTCTACCGCACCAAACCTTTTTTGGTTGAGTTTACTGAAAGTACAAGCTGAATATAGCCACAAATGTCACAAATATTTAGGTTTGGCAGTGTTGGATGTTTTTATAATGCATATATTGTATGCTTCAAATATAAAGAGAGAAAGCTTTTAAAAAGTACATTTTGATTATACTATTTTATGAATTCTGCAATTTTTAATTTATATGAAGTAATAACAGGTAGATATTTGTCTCTTTAGATAATGTCTAATTTCTAATAATTAACTGCAATTAATCTCCAAAGAAACAAATATTTATTCATTGTCGTTTTACATAAATCAAAAATTACAGAGTTTATCACATAATATAAACAAAATGTACTTTACTAAAGCTGTATCTTTATATTTGAAGTATACTGAATTTTTTTGTTCCATGTTTGGACATTTGCAGCTATAATCAGCTTGTACTTTCGGTAACCTCAACCCCTTTTTTTATTTGATTCCGTACATTTCTTCAAGTTCAAATATACTTATATTTTTTTAATTTTTCCATGTGAGCCAGAAATTGTTATAACATAACAAAAAATAATTTCCCATATCACTTCCAGTAAAATTGTTATAGACATATTTCATCCAATCTCTCTTGGTAATTTTTCAAAAAAAGCTTCCTTTTTCAAGTTATTTGCAATTGTTTGTTGAAAAAATGTCTTAATTAAGTAGTGTTTTTTTTTTTCTAAAAAACTACTAACTGAATTACGTAAATTATTAAGGATATGTGGTTTCTATCTCACTAAAAACAGTTTTAAATTAAACAGCATTTCTAAGTAATGTGATTGTACAAGCTTGTTGTCATATGAAGTATACAGCGAGAGATTGCTTGAAATGCATATTTGAATTATTTGGTTCCACATTTTGAACAAGATAGAATCCATTTATCTTTGTAAAAATATTCTTACTTGTACTTGAAGGTTTAAAGATTATAAAGCTTTTATAGAATTGCAATTTATTTAGTAGTTTTTTAGAAAAAAAAATTGCAAATAACTAAAAAGGGAACCTTTTTCAAAAAATTACCAAGATAGAAAAAGTATTTATTTCGATGAGATATGCCCAAAAAAAATTTACTGAAAGCGATTCAGATAATTGTTTTTTTGTTAATAACAATTTCACAATTTCTGGCCTACGTGGAGAAATTAAAAAAAAAAAGACATTTGAATTAAAAATACATCAAAAATAACTGCATGAATTATTTTTATAAATTTTTACCTCTATCATAAAGATAACTTTCACTTTAGGATAAGCAACTTTTAACATCATAAAATTGTTAAGTGTTTGATAATACAACTTTTGCATAATGTATATTAGTTATAATATAAAATAGAGCAACTTACCTCATCAGTATTACTAGCCTGTTGTAGTGTATACTCCCTAACTACAGATGGTGAAAATTCTACAATGTAAGTAAGTATATCAATGGAAGCAGTCTTGGTCTTCACATCATCTATAGCGAGGGTTATTTCAAGTGCTGGCAGAATTCCAAGAGAAGTTAAAGTCTTGTAGAAAGTTTCTTTAGCCTGAGGTTGTAAGTTTTGTGAATAATTACAGAATTCTTTTAAAAAGAGAACCAAATCTCTTCTTTTGGTATTAGGTGTGTGTATATCTGTTAACATGGAGAAAAGTTCTGTCAAAAACTTCTCATCTTCTTGTACTAAGGACACTATTTCAACTTTATTAAAAAATATAAAACTGCTCAATGTTGAAAGCATATTTTCTTCAAAAACTGAAGGAGTGGGTAGCACAACATCTTGAATATATTGAACCCTAAATGTTTGATGGATTTTTGACAGCAGCTCTGTATTTTTTATAGGAATCGCTTCCCTGAATGTTGCTTGTTGCTTAAGATATTCTCTATGTCTTTTTGGAGTAGGAGATGAAGGATCATATTCTAAACAACCCACCACATCAAAGATTAGTTCATCACTAAACATCACATCAAATAAAACATTTTTGTTTAATAAAAATATGTTTTTGAATATGTCATATAGATGATGTAACCCTTCCATACTCTCTAGATCTTCGCACATATGAAATAAATTAATAAGTTTTCTTATATACCCTTCACTTTCAATAGCAGTTGCTAACTTTTCTTTTCTCATTGGAGAGCTTAAACAGTTGCTAATTAATTCACTGATATCCTCTAAACGACTGAGTTCACAGCTAGGTAACTCAATTGGTGGGGCAGAATCAGACATATCATCAAACCTTTCATCTTCTGATTCTTCAACAATGTCTTGTGTAATTTCAACAGAAGGGTCCTTTCCTTGCACTTGACATATTTTCTCCCAGATCTCATCACAACCAAGCTTCTCTTGAAAACTTAAAGCTAAATCAAAATTGTCACCTTCAGACCATACTATTAATGTATCTTGTTGCTTTTGGTAAGCAGTATCTGGTTGAATTTTCGATTCTAGTAACAACGAACCATCACTTTCTGCACGCACTAACAAAGATATTCCCTTCAAACGATCAACATAGGAGGAAGAAACATGTCCTGTACCTCTATCATCCCACTGTCTATCCGCATTTAATGCATATAATTTCACTCTCCTTCTTGTATCCGTCATGGTTGAAATTTTCTTATTTCTCAGCTATATACTGGCAAATTTCCCACATTCCGTCTACAATCAAAAATACAAAATTGACATAATATTGCAAAGTAAAAACATAACATTTATGTCAGATGATTGAATCAACAAACATATCATTCAAGTTCTAAATATTAGTCGTGAAGAGTAAACAAAATACCAACCTGAATATCACTAATTTGCTAATAACGCTAGCAAAATTAAAATTTTTGAAAAGAGATTTGACTAATTTTCTATGAGTGCAAACACAATTCCTTTGTGAAAAATGAAATGCAATCTAATAAAAATTATTGTATGCCAGAAAGGGCCAAAGATGCTGAGATTTTTAAAGTACACTGTATTTAATTAAATAATTATTTTATTCGCAGATCAATTTAACTTCTTTTTGTAAACGGATACAACACCAACGTTCGCCATATTGAATTCACAACAACGCTCAAAGAGCACAGAGGGACCGACAGGATCACAAGGGCAAACGCAACTATTCTGCGCAGATAGTCGCGGTAAATTCAAATACGCACGTTTCAATTTTACTATATTGAACAGGAGAATAAAATAATTATTATAAAACTTTACAGTTGAAAATTATTTTTATTATTTTAGTTAATTTAAAATTAGGATTCAGTATCCCGTATTAGTATAATTGTCATATAGTGATTTAAAAAATGAACCTTTAATAAATATGTAAGTACAAATTGCGTTGCAATAACTGTAATAACATTACCTTTGGCGTTATACATTAAATTAAAAACTGTTGATTTTAAGTCCTATAACAATTATATCATAGGATTGAATCGCTTTGAAAAATTAAATCTGTGTAAAAATCACAGAACACATACAAAAATGTAAAAACAGAAAACTCATAAACATCAAAATAATTTTGTGAATATTTGGCACCAAATTTTAAATTTATCTTAATGCTGTTATACCCGCCAAATAAAATGTAATACAAATTTAAAAATATAAATAAAAATTCCAGTACTCCACTAATAAACCTGCGTGGTTGTTTCTAAAAAAAATCCAATATGATCAATATGTTTAAAACAAATAAATAAATAAATTATTTCTGAGGATATTCTCAACGGCAAAAACTTCTAAATTTTTGTGTCCACATTAATTTTTTTGCATTTTGTTTATTATTAAGCATTGTTTTGACATTTTCATACAAGGAAAACTATGAACTTGGCAACAGTGAAACTGATTTTTGGAATTCTACCTTTATTTATTTTAATAAAACTATTTAAACTTGGCGATTTTCGCAGATTTAGTTCCATTTTCGGCAAATGTTTTAAATGTTTCGACATTATTTAAATCATATTTAAAACGTCATCTTATAATATTAGGAAAATTGGGAAAAACTATGAAAATGACAACAGTCTGTTTTGCTGATGATTCAACAAATCACATTTTCTCTGCAGTCATTTGTCAAATTTTCTCCTAAATATGCCATATGTCACTTAACCAACTACAAGGTTTATAGTTTATTTATATTTACATTTTTCAACTTCCTTAAGTCCTTCTTGAACCCGAACCATACATAGTTAAGTTCCAATAAGCATGACATCGGTTCAGGAAAGGCTTCAATTGAAACGAGAACCATTAGATAAATGGTCCGTAAGAGAACAACTTTGTTTGGCTTCTGCAGTTTGTAGAAGTGGCGACCAGAATTGGATGTCTGTTTCCAGAGCTTTAAAGCCTTTTGGTGAACCAAATCGACCGTCTGACTGGTTTCATTTAAAAAATTGTGCGGCACAGTATGGCATGTTATTGGGTAATGTCGAAACTCCTAAGAGAAAAAATAAGAAAACCACTATTGACTCTGGTGGGGAAACGCCGGCAGAAAGTATTTTAAAAAGACTAAGTACCGAGAGGCAAGTAGAATTGAAGAAACTTCTTGCAGAAGAAAAGGCAGAGTATCAAAAATTACAAGAGGATATGATTCTGCTTCAGTCAGGTTTGTTCATATAGACATTTACAGGGAGTTTAGAATAGAAACACATAATTTGTCCTTATTTTCTTAGCTGTAAAAAATGCTTATACCATTCACTATAAAACAATAATTGCTGTTAAAATGTGAAATAGCAGATATAAATTAACTACTATTCTAGTTGTTGTTGCAGAGAATCAGATTTACGAAACAAAAACAAGAGAAAATTTCCCAATAAACGAATAATGAAATTATAAAAAAACTTGCAGAGATAAGAACAATCTGAACTAGGGAATAATTTAGGTATTAACTGTTTAGAAGGTCTCTAAGTCTCAGTATTAAAATATTAACAACAGAATTAATATTTTATAAAATGATACAGGACTACGTTTTTTGTAGTTCTATAGTGAATCTTTTAGAAGACAACAGAAGGAAGAAAAACAAAGTTGGATGAGAAATATGTACAAATCTAAAATTTATTAAGTACTTAAGAGCTCCAAAATTAGTATGATACTGGAATTTTTGAAGAATTATGTGTCAACTGATACGTAGCAACTTACAAGTCAATTAAAACAACATTAAAAGTCAATTTATGTATCAGAACTTTGGTTAAGTTGGGTTATGTTAGGTTGGGTTGACACAAGTATCCATAGGCATATAATACAAATTGACTCCCTATTGCAATACATAGTGTCACATTCCCCCAGTATGACACAGAAAACTGAAGCAAAGCAGTTCCTGCTTTTTTTCTAATGAGGAGGGTTTATTGATTACATGTCTTTCTCTATGATCATTTAGGTCACATGGTCGATAAACTAAAATTTTATCTAGACATTATTGTAGACTTACCTGCCATTTTTGGATTTAATAAAGTAATTAGGTTTTAAGGGGTTCCTGCATATATTTGATATGTTTTTATGAATTAAGTAAATACGATGTCATATTCTTTCTTTTATATGAGTTTTAAAATGTATAAATTTATGGTTATTATATTTTTTATTCGATATTGAAATTTAATCAAAAAATGGGGTTTCCTGTAAATTCTCTAAAAAAAATAAACAAAAACAGCATTTATATGTGTATTCTATAGACTATGTAATTTTGTAAAATGAAATATTGTCTACTAAACTGACATTTGTCACCTATGTAATTATTTGTTGGTTATTTTTGCTCCCACAATTTTTTGTCATTATTTAAACTTCTAGGAAAGGTATCAGAGGAACAGTTAGATAAGTGGTGTCAGGAAATAGAAGATGAAGAGAACCAAAAAGAACAGGAATCCATAACACATGCCAGATGGTTGAAAGAGAGGGAACTACGTAAACAGGAAATTGAAAAGGTCTGGAGACCTTCAAAAACTATAATGGGACAAAAACGTAAAAGCTCAGATCGCCTAGACAATCTGGTAGAACAAGAACATATGGATGAGATTGTCCTTCAACAGCAACCACAGCTCAATCAACAACAACATCATCAAATCTATTCACAACCTTCAGAGACAATGAAACCTGCACTTTCTCCTTTACTCACAAGTTTATTAAAGTCTCCTTCACAAGTTCCAAGCACCCCTATTCTACATACAGCTATTACCAATAGACCTATTCCTAATACTAGTACCAATCCTATGATAGCAAGTTTATTAAATTCATCACCTACTGTAACAGTAAGTAGATTTTTTATAAAACTACAACTAATATCAAACAATAGAGCTATAGGACTTACACTTTTTTAAATTGCATTAAGGGAACTGTATCTGCTCAATATAGAAACCCTTTTTTGTTGTATTCTTAAGGAGCATATTATGTAGTTATTAATCTACATAGAAATTCAATACTATTTATATTTGTCTTTGTACATTCTTCCAGCTTTTCTATCTGGTTTGATTCAAAATTAGTGCATCTTTAATGCATAATCAACTGTAATCAATGCAGCTATTGTACTTTTTACTTCAACAGGCTATAGCATTCATTATCTGGCTTAAAGATAGCCAGAGAAATTCTATATGTTTGCCAAATTTTGATAACAATGCTCAAACAGCCCAGATTCAGTGTCCAAACTATAAGAAGCAGTGTTAACCTGTATGTTTAACTGTAGGGTGCTCCCACCAATTTTACTTGAGACATCGACACATGCCACACATCTTAGTTTAACAATGCAGTATAAAGTTGAGAGAAGAGACTGTTCAAAAAAAAATTACAACAATCTCTGCAGAATTCGCAAAATTTTCTGTTTACTGTTTAGTCTTGATTTTGTCTTTCCCATTGAAACATCCAAGCCAAAGATATTTATATAAGAGAAAGTATCCTACTCTATCATTTGTAAGATTTGTTACTATATGAATGTGAAATCAATGTAATAAGTGGGTTTCAACTACTTAAATAGAGGAGTGAAATAATGTTCTGTGGCAGTATGATTTTTTGTGAGAAAGCTTGAAATAAACATTTTATGGCTTCTTGATTATACCAACACTAAAACACCCATTGGTTAAGGTCATTAAAACTGCCATCACATTCACATGTATCTGTTTCTGAAAGTTTTATTTTAAATTGGTATGTTTTTACTGCTCTGTAACAAAATATGGTGTTCCAAGCAATGGCCTGAAGACTGGACAAAATCTACAATAACGACAATACATAAAAAGGCAGCTTCCATAAATGTGACAACTATAGAGAACCATCTCTCTTATTTCACATGCCTGCAAAATAATGCTACACATAGTCAACGAGAGACTTAAAACTTTCCTACAAAGAGAAATACCCCAAGAGCAAACATAATTTACCAAAGGTATAGGTACTCGAAAACCTAAGGCAAATCTAGGGAATTCAATATCCGACTATACATTTGTTTTATAGATTATTGCAAAGCATTCGACATGGTCAAATGGTAACACTTATGGCAGATACTAAAAGAAGTAGGCATACCACAGCACTTAATTTTGCTTATAACTGAACTATACAAACGTACTACTGGAACAGTTAAAGTTCTTGACACACTCAAACGAATTCCATCCAGAACAAGGTGTCCGACAAGGATGTGTACTGTCTTCACAATCATTTAATATATATAGAGAGCATATTATGAGAAGAGCGCTTGAAGGATGGGAAAAGGCATCTCAATAAATGACTGAAAAATAAAAAACCTATGTTTTGCAGATGATACAGCCCTTCTTGCAAATAGTCAAAAAATGTTAATTGATCTTATACAATTGGTTGAAAACGAAAGTTAAATATTTGGTCTGCAGTTAAACATATCAAAGACTAAGATCATGATAGTGGATCGTGGTTTGAATTTGTGAGCTCATATTTATATCTGGGATTATTGATCATAAACACAAGGACACTACAGGAAAAAATAAAATGTAGATGTGATGTAGCAAAAGTCGCTGTAGTAAAGATGGCCAAAATATGGAAGGACTCAAACTTTACGAACTCTAAAAATGAGATTGATCAACTGCTTAATATTCCCAAAACTGACATACGCATGTGAATTTTGGACCCTACGATAAGCGGAAAGAAGAAAAATAGACGCCACTGAAATGTTCTGTTGGAGAATAATATTACAAATTCCGTAGACTGACCACAGTACAAATATTTCAATTTTAAATGAACTAAAAGTCAATGAACAGCTGTACAGCAAAGTCCATCTCCAGTAATTAAAATACTTTGGACATGTTATGAGAGCAGACACGGAAAACATGGAAAGACTTATTATCCTAGGAAAGGTAGAAGGCCAAAGATCGAGAAGAAGATCTCCAACAAGATAGATCGATCAAATTACAGGCATATGCAAAAGACCTATGCATGAGTTAAAATTAAAATAAATGACCCGAGACAGAGATCTTTGGAGATAGACAATACACAATGTCACGATGACCACTACACTCCCTCCGGTCAGGATTGAAAAGAGATATGCGTTTACTGTAATATGTCCAAAAAGGTATCTAATGTATCTAGTATAAATTTTCCGAGGGATGGAGCTTCTCTCTCTTCCGAGTGATGGAGGAGTAGATGGAGAGTTGGATATATTTCATTTATTAAACAGACAGGATCACCCCATTACAGCTTTATAATAACATTATATTTACTCTAGAAATAATTCTAGAGTTTACTATAGATTGTCTTAAAGTGACTTATCTGTACAGGATATACAGGATAAATGCATTGATGCCATACTTCTTTGCAAATTTGTATTAAAATAAATGTCACTTCTTACTACTTAGCCTAATCCATCTTTTGTGTTGAGGGTAGCTTAAGTACTAATGCCCACTAACGACCCTGCCTGGCTTCCTTCTGTCAGTGGTTCTCAAACATAAATAATATTTGCTACAACATACTTGGGTTAAATTAAAATAAAATAGAAATTAAGAAATGTCTTTTATTTATGTCACACAAGCAGTTTGTTTTTAATTCTACAGTATGTGCTAGCGATACAAACTATTTGTTTATAGATTTAAATAAAATCGAATAAAATAAAACTAAAATATAAAGAAACATTTTATTTATGTATTGTTCCGTTTAAAAGTTAAGGGGGGAGAACTTTTAAAAACCGCACTGTATATGTTTGCAGTAACAGAATGTAGAAATATCCGAAAATAAAACTAATAAATAAGTTGAAAATAAAACAAGTCATTGTATTTAATTTCGTGTGTACGTAATTGTAATTGTATACTATTATATTTAGTTCTTTTTTCTGTCAATCGCTGTCACATTTAGTTTCTGCTTAACTATCATCATTATTATCGTTACTATCATTATTATCTCCGTTATTTATATTTATTGGTTCAATATCATCCAACAAATTGTCAATTTCCCACATTTTTTTTTTCTGTTACTATTACCTGGTTTACATAGTTTTTCCATTTCTCTGGCGTAATGACCTGGTACGATGCTGTAATTAAATTTCGCATTTCAGCTTATTTAAAATTCGCGTTGCGTCCAGATATATACCGTTTCACTTTACTCCAAACCATTTCCATGGGATTGAGTTCACAGTGATAGGGTGGGAGCCTCAGAATATTCACATTGTACTGTTTGGCAATATCTTCTCTTATGTCTATCTATCTATCTATACAGCCCTAAACATCCATTCTGGGATATAGGCCTCCTCCTCCTTCTTTATGTCCCTCTATCTTGGGCAATTTGCATCCATTTTGACCCGGCGTGTTTCTTCAGGTCATCTGACCATCGCATTTGTGGCCTTCCCCTTTTTTGTTTGTGATTCCATGGTACCTCTCTTGTGTACCTCTTATGTACCTGTCATATTTTGCTTTGAAGGCCTGGACTACATCAAGTAACTCGCATTTTAGGTAGTCTTCTTCAAAAAATAGGTGCTTTGACAGAAGCCACTCTTGAATATCTTTTTTAGTGTTGAACTGTTGGGGATTTGTTCTGACTTTTTTTATTTTCTTTTTCGAAAATACTTTCGTATTTTCTTTTCTATTTCGTCGTGGTAGTCCTGAGTATTTTTCTTTTCCAAAAACGTGAGCTCTGCTCCATCAACAAACCCACTGGTAGATCCTGCGTGCAATAAAACGAACCGTGCACCACGAGCTATTGGAGCTTTTTTAGAAAATATTAAGTAATCTGCTTCAGACTTTGTTTGTAAATATTTTTGTGGCTAGTTTTCTTTGCAATAATTAAATTTTTTAAATATGGGGAAAATTATTTTGGAAAGTTGGAGCTTTTAATGAGTTTTCTTGGAATAAACTGATTAAAGATAGTATCTAGATTTTCATAAAACTTTAGCACAGCAGACTCAATATCTAATTCATAAAATAAGTTGTTATATTCATAAAATATAATTACCATCTCTGAAGTCAAAATAGTATTCTTAATATGTATGTTAGGTTAATTTTAGTAGTACATACAAGATCAAATGTGAAAATGTAAATTATGTAAAGGAATTATAAGTTCTACAGCAGGTTCTACTTTGACTTCAGATATGTTTGTAAACATTAAATCTAAATATTTACAACTATCATTTCGATTTATTACTTTTTGAAAAAAATTATAAAAAGAAAAATATGTATTCAGCAACTTCTAATAATGTATTCAGTTCTCAGGACAATCCACACAAACTCCCAGTTCATCATTATACCATATCGCCTCAGGTAAATTATAGTAATCTAGTATTACAAACTTGCTATTTGTGTGTCCTTGGTATATGGTATTGACAGATTCACAGTGAATTATGTATCATTCCATTGAGGAACTAGGTGGTAGATAGACTGCACCAATAATGTAATGTTGATAACTTAACATTAATTCCACATATAATTGTTCAATGGTATTATTAAGAGAGAGAATGAGGTTTGACCTTAATCTATCAGCTATTGCAATAATTACTCCTCCAACTCCGCTCTAACCCACTTTAACTCCAATGATACATATTATAACCACGAAATTTGATTTCATGTTCTGAAAACTCGTCACTCAACCATGATTCAATAATAACTATAATATATGAGCAATTTAATACTGACATATCTAACTGCCGAAATCTTGTTCGTAATCCTGCCATATTATGAAAATTATGCTGTTAATGGGGCGCTATTCTATGCACTTTTTATTTTATCATTATCACAGAGATCTTTGGCGTTTCAAACACTCACCAACAAACTTCTTATCTGAAAAAATCACCTTTAACGGCCTGGGACAGCTTTTTTCCACACTTATTGATTTGAAGTCCTTTGTGTTAATAGACAGTTTTTGCAAAGTAGCTGTTATCATAAGGTTATCATGATTTATGCGCTCTTTGAATCCTTTGATTGTGATTCAACTACATTAAACGTAATAATGTTATTGGATCTCGTATTGGTTACACATCTCTACAGTCTTCACAAGTATTTTTATTTCTATTCTATCTATAAGTTGTCTACCCTAATATTCCCATATAAATCTTTAATTGTTGAATATGTTGAATTCTCATATAAACAATTGAATATATTGCACTTATTAACACATCTCGCCAAGTTTTATGAAATAAAATTTATTTTTAGGTATCTCCTGGTTTACAACAACTTGTTAGTTCAGCTATTGGCCAAGAAACGCCTGAATTGGTAGGACAAATTCATCACCATCAGCCACACCAGCACCAACCTATTACAAATGATATCTTGGATGATCCAAGCTTGCCTAACATCAAAATTGACGATTTAGCGAACAGCATATTAGTCCAGGATGGTCCCCTGCCAGAAATAAAGAAAGAAGAAGTCGATGATATTATATCGGAAATCATAGAGAATGCTCATGATATTGTAACTGATCCTGAGCATCATTTAGAATTGGACGGAAACGGAGATATTAATATTAATTTAGAATTTGACGATGAAGATGACCTTCAGGACATTGTAGAGCCCAAGATTGAGGTAAGTAGTAGTAATTATTAACATAACATAAACTATCATTAATTAGGATTAGGTTGAATTAGTTTAGGCGGTATTTTACTTAATTTAATTAATATGTACTTTTTTTATGAACTTGCAGCCAAAAGAAGAAAAGAAAGTGGAAGAAAAATTTGTTACTCCTGCGCCGGTTGTGGATCCTTTTGAATTCCAGGAGGATCCCATCATTCAGCCTTCGGTGAAGGTTTCCAACATTAACAAACAAGATCACAAACCTTACGTTCCCCAGTACCAGCAACAAGCTTCTTATTTAGAGCAAACAAGCCCCACCGACAAAGAGATCGAACTGCAACAGAATAGAAATCAGTATATTTCTAACGTCGAAGAGCCGAAAGAAGAAACGAAAAATATTTCACCGGTTATATCACAGGTTAGTATATCTTCTTCTTCTTAAAGTGCCTATCCGTTCCGGATGTTGGCGATCATCACGGCTATCCTTACTTTGTTTACTGCAGCGCGGAACAGTTCAGTGGTAGTCGTATTATACCACTTTCGTAAATTTTATAGCCAGGAGATGCGTCTTCTTCCCGGTCCACTCTTACCATTTACCTTCCCTTGGAGAATTAGCTGGAGAAGGCCGTAACGTTCTTGATTTCTCATTACATGTCCTAGATATTCCAACTTTTTTGTTTTGACGGTCATGAGAATTTCACATTCTTTCCCCATTTTACGCAGGACTTCTACATTAGTAACTCTGTCAACCCAGGATATACGTAAGATGCGCCTATAACACCACATTTCGAAAGCTTCGATCCGATTCATAGATGCAACAGTCAGTGTTCACGCTTCCATTCCGTAGAGCAGAACTGTGAATATGTAGCAGTTCAATAGACGGCATTGTGTTTTTAATGATTTGTCTCGACTGTTGAAAATGGTTCTCATTCTAACGAATGCTGCTTTTTCTTTTATTATTCGCTGTTTAATTTCTGTTAAGTGGTCCCATTGGCTATTTAAATTGGTGCTTAGATATGTATATTGCTCGACTCCTTCGATATTCTGTTGGTTGATTGTAAGTTGAGCGTTTAGTATTGGTTTTTTACTAATTGTCATACATTTGGTTTTCTTTATGTTAAGAGCTAGTCCGTATCTGTTGCTGACTTCTGTTATGCGATTTGTTAATATCTGTAAGTCATTCAGATTATCGGCAAAACTATAGTGTGTATACCAGTTAGTATATCTAAAAAATTCTTATAAACAATAGAACTGAATTTTTATGTAACATCAATTGAGGCGGTAGCTAGAAGAAGGGCCTATTTGCTAAAAGTGTATTTTGAAAAACAAGCATGCAAAGATTTGCATGCTTGAATTTCTAGAAGAATAGAAGATAATAACCTAAATCAAAGGAAAACACCAAAGGAAATCTAAAATATTATCAATTTCGAGCACCTTAACTGGCAAGAGCCGGTGGAGAAAACCTGCTCGAAGTAAGTGTACCTCCACCAATGCTTTTCAATATTTATACCAACGGTCAGCCCACTCCTGTCTACTCAAAACACTTTAATATGCAAGCGAACTAGCCATAGCTGTTTAAGACAAGACCTACTGTGGAGTAGAGGCTAATCTAGAAACGGCACTGTCCACCATAGCCCAGGGAAATAAGCATTTTTTCATGACACTCGTCCGGCCAGGCAGACGACAGTAGTATGGACCTCTGTAATAAAAACCTATATGTTTCCTGCAGTCGATTTTTTGGACTTAATTAGTTATTAACAAATTAAGGTCAAAAACTGAAAATTTTTGCTTTTTTCGTCTATCAGCAAAAATTGAAGCAATTTAAACAAATTTTAGAAGAGAGGAAACTTATAAGTTATATAAAAACCTTCAAAATGGCGTTTTCAAAATGTTTCTATCCTTATTTGTTGCTTAAAAAGTTGCAAAATAAGTCAAAAATTTCGGTTTTTTATAAATGTTAATAACTTTTTTGAAAACAAACCTATAATATTTATATTTCATGGAATGATGTGTCTTGTAGTGCTTAAAATAGGGTTAAAATTTCAAAGTGATCGATCCAATAGTTTAAAAGTTATTTTGTTTGTTTATCCCAAATTAACAATTTTTGCAACAATATAAGTCAGAAATTTATACAGTTTTAGAAATTGTAAGGGTTGTTTCTGGTAGAAGAAGATTTGTTTTATTATTTACATTAAAAAAAATTAATAAAATTAATTTTAAATATTGCAAAATAATTTTGCAAAAACATGTCGATTTTTTGCTTATAAACAATTAGAATAACTTTTTAACCATTGACTGTGAAAATATTCTTTTTACATATTTAAAAAGCCTAAATTTTTTCACAAATTTAAATAAAAAAAAGTTTGTCCTAAAATAATTTGGTACAAAGTTAGCCTCTTTTTTTATTTAATTCATAGCACCTTTGTTTATAACAATTAAGAAATCTAATTAGCGCTATTTGAAAGAATATACATTATAGTTTTAAACTACTAAATTTTAAAATTATTACCCTTTAATGAAATCCTCCACAAAGTTTCAAAATGTATGTAAAATCCGTCGGCTTTGAAACTCTCGGGAGCTGAAGAGAGGGGGAAGGAGCTGTTAACTGTATCTCTGTTCCTTTTTTTATGTATTTCAACGTTTTTTTTTTAACTTGTATGTACTTTTTGCGTACATTACGAATATGCATTATTTCAATAAATAAATTGTCAAATAAACCACATAATTTGTTTAAAAACAATGTCTTTAAATTTTTTTAGTAGTATTTAAGTTAAATTTGAATGTAAAACAGAATTACTTGTCATTTTCTATATTTTGGGGAATAAGCCACAATTTAAGTTTATAATAAGTTTATTTTTGACATTTCGATTTCTACTTCGGAAATCTTTCTCAGAATACAGAACATTAATAAATTAATCAAATTTTGTTTTTGGTTACTTGGTAGAAAATTTGATTGGAAAATTTTTCTGATAACTCTTCTGTGTGATTGATTAGGGTGAGGAAGCTCAGTAGATCTGTTTTAGTAAAAATTACAAAAAAAGTTATTAACAAAACTTGTAGACAGCTTTAAACTCGACATTTTAAAATTAGTTACAATCTTACAGGGTGTTCTATAAGATGGTGGCAAAACAAACTTATGTTTTTTAAATGAAACACCCTGTATTTTATTTTGAATTTGAAATCTGCTTCACTTCCACATCACAACAATGTAAAGTTTCATTATGTTATACCGGGTAGTTAAAAAGTTATAACCAATATTACCTGAAAATCGTATCAAGTTTAACTCCCTGTATAATTAAAAAGGAGTATAGGTCCATTGATCTATTGCAACCATAGTTTTTTAATAATTGTTAGAAATTATAAAACATATTCGTTTTCATAATATTCGTTAAATCAAATACATGGTAAGTCAAAATGCAAGTACATTATTTTCTTGGTAATTTTAAATAGAACGCCCTCTATTTTATATCACTATCGAAAAGTACTAATATCGTACTTCAAATTTTATAGAATACTCCCTATACATAAAGTTATTAGTTTTCTAGATATTTTTATTTTTCCATCAAAGTATAAATTTTGAAGATATTTTAACGTTTACCAATAATTATTGTGAGTTGACCATGATTGATTTGTCAGAAACTGACAGTTTGACATTATTGTTTATTAATTCAGTATTAGGGTACATCCTAAAATAGCAACAATTATTATTTAGCAATACAATAATTTATTCAATTTAAATTAGCAATATTGAATTTTACTACTAAGGAAATGATAGATAAATATGATCTGGATATTGGGGAAATGAAATAAAAATTCATTACTATCAGCTAGAATTTATCATGAACGGTTTCCAGATAGGCGGCAACCTAGACAAGATACATTTGAAAAATTGAAAGATCGATTTAACCGCACTGGTTCAGTGAATTATGAAAAACATGAACGAAAAAAAAACTAGTGTGACAGAGGAAAACGAAATGAGAGTGTTGATGGCAGTTATAGAAAACCCACTCACAAGTATAAGGAGTATTTCCAATAAGCAAGAACTTAGTTACTACTCTGTTCAAAACATTCTATCTAAAAACAAGATGCACCCATATCATATTCAAAAGTACCAAGAATGAAATGATGATGATTTTCAGAAACGAATAGTATTTTGTGAATGGGCCTTAAAAAATTTAATGAACAGAGAGTTTTTTTGATTATATCATATTTGGTGATGAAGCTGTATTCCACTGAAACGGTTCTGTTAATAGGCATAAATAACTTTCACTACTATTCAACAAGTAATCCATACCAAATAGTAACACATAGTCAAACAAGATAATTTTTAAATGTGTGGGGAAGTATCGTGGGTAACCATGTAGTAAAACCATATTTGTTTAAATATAACGTAAATGGTAAGATTTATTTAGATTTTATCGTACATCAGTTACCGATATTATTAGAAAAGGTTCCACTTAAAATACGTGAACAAATGTGGTTTCTACATGGAGGTGCTTCTGCGTACCACAACGAACTAGTACGTGGTGAACTTAATAATCAGTTTGGTGAAAGATGGATCTTAAGGGGTGGCCCAAGGTCACCAGAATTCAATAAAGTGGACTCATTTTTTTGGGGTTACATGAATAATGAAATATATAAAATACCTTCAACAACAAGGGATATAAAAAATAGAATCCGAATTGCATTTCAAAATATTTCTTTACAAATGCTTAGTAATGTAAGTAACTTTTTCAATGACCGCTTTCAAGTATGCATAGATGTTTTGGAAGGTCATTTTGAACACCTTACTTAAGTATGATTAGTTAAAATTACAGTTGTTTTTTATTTTTTTTAAGTGTTGTTATTTTTTTTTATTTTCTGTCGATTATTTTTTATAAATTTTATTTGAAACAAATTGTTTTCTTTTCTGTGTCGTTATCTCGTTACTGAATTAAAAAACAATAATGTCAAACGGTCAGTTTCTGACAAATGAATCATGGCCAACTCCCAATAATTATTGGTAAAAGTTCAAATATCTACCAAATTAATACTTATCTAGAAAATTGATAACTTTAGGTATAGGGGATATTCCATAAAATGTAAAGTACGATATTAGTACTTTTCGATAGTGACTTAAAATACAGGGTGTTATATTTAAAAATATCAAGAAAGTAATGTACTTGCATTTTGACTTACCCTGTATTTGAATTAACGAATATTATGAAAACGAATATATTTTACAATTTTTAACAATTATTAAAAAACTATAGTTGCAATAGATCAATGGACCTATACTCCTTTTTAATTATACAGGGAGATAAACTTGATACGATTTTCAGGTAATATTGGTTATAACTTTTTAAATATCCGGTATAACATAATAAAACTTTACATTATTGTGATGTGGAAGTGAACCAGATTTCAAATTTAAAATAA